TTATATATATATAGACTAGCTGTTACCCGCGACTTCACCCGCGGAGGTTTTGCAAGCAAACCCCATTTATATTCAGTATTTCAACAACCATAGTAATTGTTATATAACACCTACCGCCGAGAATGATGAGAATTGCTGAGAATCAAACGAACTATTTTCAATTTGATCAATTTTCTGGAATGTTTACAAACGCATCTTAAGCGCGCTGACAGTAAACTTAATATTTGAACACGTGCTAAAAGCGCTGAATAAAAGAATGCGCGGGATGAGTGACGTATGCGTTAGAACAGGAAGTTGGTGGCACTAGAAGTAGCTTCCGCTTTTACGTGTTCGAACTTTTATTTAAAGATGGAGTTAGCAATTGTGTTTGCATTGGACGACATCAATTGGAATATCCGTTACATCGGAATCTTAAAGACTTATATAGTGATTCTTAACATCTCACTTGATATCCAAAGTCTTGTTCCTGTAGAATGTCGAGAATAAATCCAATTCATAAAATCACAGTTGATTCCTAATATCCAGCTCCATGGTCCCCACATCCTACAGCAGGGCCCACAGACTAAGACCATTGGCGAGCCCCACTCGAACCCGAGACCTTAGTGGTTTGAGCCGAAGGATGTAACCCAGGGATGGCCAACAGTTTTTGCCCCCGGGCCGAATTGGAAAGAAAACTTTTTCTACGGGCCGAACCTGAGGCTGCCCTAGGAAGATTTTGAGGTGGTGCAAGATCTCACTGTGGTGTCACCTCGTAAAGACTGAATTGTAGATAGAGATTACAGATACATATTTCACATTACCATGCATTATCAACATTCTACGCTGTGCTGAAGACATGTGTAATGGAGCGTTAACTCTGGACGCACAGTTAAGTGTTGACCTTTTTTTTTAGGCGTCAGAATTTTTCATCGAGCTATTCGGAATTGAGTAGCTAATATTGAAAGATTGATCGCGGGCCACACAAATTCATTAGACGGGCCGTATGTTGGCCATGCCTGATCTAACCACTCGTCCCCCACGGCCGCTTTGGGATATAAGGCAGCTAAATGACAAAAATTATTATTTTCATTGACAAATTAAGCACGCATTTACAAAAACGTAGATTAGATTTATTAGAGACAATGGAGGAATTACATCGACAGATTTTACAATGACGAACACGACATTAAAAGCAAAAACAAAATAGGAACAAAATAAGAACTGAAAGAATGACAGAAATTGAAAAACAAAGCACATCAACAAGACAAAACCCAAGAAACTATCTATTAAATTATTTCGCAGTAAACTTTCTTGCTTTTGCTGAAGCAAATTTTTCGATCACGCCACTAAAATTTGTTTGTTTAGCTAAATCATTTTAAATGCTCAAGATTGCTGGGTTATTTAGTTGCTCCTGACCAGTTGAGTTTCTTTTCCACGTCTTCATTGAATTTGCCAGTTTACTGAAAGAACCTCTCAGCCGAAGAAACAGTTACTGGCTCTGTACAAAACAGCTTATGTGCGAGATTAATATTGGCAAATAAACTTTGAAGTTTTTAATTGTAAACAGAAAATTTTTGATGAAAGTTTTTTCAGCTTTCCTCATGACTTAGAAAGGTAATTTTTATATTTTTATGATTGCTATATTAAGTTAATAATAGTAGATTAGAATATTAATTAAATTATGTTAGGAATTAAATATTTCAATTAAATTGAACTCAATATTTCACCAGAAAATCCAAGCAAAGTCAAAAATACAGGCTGGCCATCTTCAAACCGGGCCCCCAACTAGGATCCGGTCAGTGACTACCATGTGGGGGCAATGCCCAGCTCTAATATCATTATTCATTGTTCATGATTTATATCTATTCTATCATTAAGGCGAATAATTTGAATTTATTAAAGTTTTAATAACAACGAAGTAAAAACAAACGAAAATTTAACTTTTATTAGGCTTACAATTTAAATTATCGTCATAATAAAAATTTAAAAAACTGATAAATTATTTTGCTAAAATAATAATAATAAATGTTTGTTTTATATTAGAGTATTGTTATCAAAAAATTATATTTTCTAAAATTAATGGCGCATTAATGCTGTAATGAACATCTTTATATTCATATATAATATTTTTATTGTCTTGTATGGGCGTAGCCGTCTTTGATCAGTTACAGGTAGCAAAAGGTAGCGTAAATGGAAGGCACTACCAAATGTGATGTCAAAACACCAAGCATTTTCCGAAACAGCGCTGCTATAAAGGGCGTTCAGCAGAAAAATACCCAACCGCTCCGGAACTGTTCAGTCTGCATTCTTTTTTCTCGGTTACAATGGCGTCCGCAACAGGATATCCCTTTGTACCTTCCATTTTTTCTCCGCTTCCTCTGCTATAATATAGAAAATTTAAATTAAAACAGACTTTTATTCCGAATTCAAATAAAGAATGTGTGATCTAAATACTAGGCCAATATATCGATTGTACTAGACCTGCCTGTTATTTGAAATTTAGCACCTATAGCCATCCATAAACGTTGTTTAAGTACAGTGGTTTCTACATGACACTGATGAGGTCAAACGGATTCAATAAACTCCTTTATTTCATTTTTTGTTTTTTCGAGATCGTTACAATTGTAGGATTAACTTTCATTGCCGCCATTGTTAGAATAAAAACCACGTGTCTACTTTGACGACACAAAAAAGACTTCTATTTATTAGAGGAATTTTGCCGTAAAAATTTTACGGCATAAAAAGTAGAGACATGCTCCACTCTTTTTTCAGTTATGTTTCAGCCAAAATTTCAGAAAAATTTTTACGCTTTCTGTTTTATGCTAGATTTTACGCCGAATTTTACGCATGCCTGTTCCTGGCGTAAGTGTGCACAGTCCTAGTTTTTGTATGTAGATTTTCGGAAATGCAATACGGTGTTTCTTTGTGGTCCCGTGTATTAAATTATTTTTGTGGATAGTTTTTATTTGTAACCCTCGTTATGGTCGATCTTACCGAAGTCAAGTCACTACATCTCTTGATGAATGTGATAGTATCCCTCCGTTTGTTACGTGTTTCTTGGGGATGATTCCAACGTTCTCCAATAGTAGTAGCGATCTAGTCAACGTCCGCCAATTTTTTAAAACTAACGATAATATCTCTCGTCTGGCTGGGTGAAACGACGACGTGAAGTTGGTGGGATTGCATGCTAGGATAAAAGGGGGCCACTATCAACTTTGTTTGCTTTCTGATCAAGATTCTTACACGTTTGAAAGTGTGAAGCAGAAGCTGATAAAATGTTACGAAAAACAAGAATTTAAGGAAAGGAACGCCCTTGATCACCTTTAACATATATAAAAAATACGAAGAAGCATAATCACTGCCTCATGAGATGGATTGTTGAACTATCTGCTTTGATTTGGATATAAATCATGTTCAAGGAAAGGGGAATCCGGTTGCTGAATTGCTCTCCAGACCACATTGTAGTGTAGAAGGTTCTTCCTCCGGCGGCATTCATATCAATTGTGTCAGTGACGAGTTATGGAGAAAGGTAAAGGAATCCCAATATGAGGACGAGAAATTCGGCCCAATGAGGAGACATTTAATCAAGTCCCAACTCAAACGCAACGATTCTATCAATGGTGGTGGTATTTTTTCCCAAATACCAAGAGGATGGTGACATATTAATCCATGTAAAACCGGAACGGTTTGGCATACGTTAATAAAGGCGTATTTGCATTGGAAAAATTGCAATTGATGACGTGATAAGAGCGTTTCATGAATCCCCGTTAGCCGGCCATTATGGTAAGGATAAGACATAGGACCTAATAACCCATTACTATCAATATTGTTTCGATAAAATGTAGAAACATGTAGAAAGATTCGTAAAATTTTGCAAGATCTGCCAACATCATAACCTGCATCAAGGGAGAGCTCCCTTTCAAGAAACCGAGGTAGCGGATTATCCGTTCCAAAAAGTGTCCATTGACATAATCGATCCTTTAAATCCCACCCCCGGGGAGAATAGACACATCCTTAACATCATCGACATGTTTACTCGCTTCACTGAGGCTGTTCCTATAAAGGACCAATCTGCAACTTTAGTCTCTAATGTGTTTTTTTTTTTTTGAGACCCTAGTTTGCAGATATGGTAGTCCAGAGAAATCCAGACGGACCACCTTGGGAAAATTCCAGGATTGTTCGATCCGTCCGGATCCCCAAGAGCAGTAGAATGCCGCTTTAACTGCTTGGCTGTCCGGATGTCGGAAAAAAAATATAATAATAAAATAAAATTTGTCTCTACCCTAAAAGTAAGCTTTTTTGTCATTTTATAATAGTACAGTAAAACCCGTTAAGATGTTCTCACCTAAGATGTTAGAATGTGTATGGGGACATGATTTAGTTCAACCGCTTTGATGCTTAATTAAATCTTGTGTTTTATTGAATTTTTTATTCTGAAGTCACGTGATGACATCAGAATTTCTGGGTCGCTTTCGGTAACAAGACCGCCCCTGGTCGGAGTCGGAGTCGGATGGTAAGCAAAAGTCTGAGTCGAAATCAGAGTTGGAATCGGTACATTTTTACGCGACTCCACAGCCCTGGAAACAAACAAATTAAAAAAGATACGGTTTTAGAGTAAACAAAAATAAACAATTATTTAACTCTTATGAATGTAGTACCCTAAGATTTTATTTGCCCGTTAGAGGTTAAATTGGGTTATAGTTAGTCTCTGTGTATATTAAAAAACATAACAGTTAAGAAAATTATAAAAAGATTTCTACATATGTAGGTAGTACGAACCAAGTTTACAACAAATCATATACGTATACAAAAGCAGCAATAAAAGTCAAGCAGAACGTTATGCAGCTAGCGTGACATGTGACATTATCATAATAAATCATATACTAAATATACTTAAAGTTATTTAATTAACATAGTCTCATCTTATCAACATATATAATGTTAATATAATTTCCAATGTTTATCACACAACAAAAATTTTTGACTTCGTGTCTGTCTNGTAAAATAAATTATTCTAATAGTAAAGCGGAAGAGTATAGTAACGACGGCCACAAGGAGTATTTGTGTAGATACATGTGACGTCACGGGTACGAAAAAAAGGATCGGAGAAGGATTTCAAAATGGCGTCAACGGAGGAGAGTTCAACGAAAAGTGATGGACAACTATGGACGGTTTGGGCAGAATCTATCGATTGTCAAACACTTGAAAGTAAGTACACTTAATTTCCGAATTAATTGATAAATGGATGAATTATCGGTAACTTGAAACGTTTCGGCATGTTCAGTTGCCTTTACGCCACTGAACCTGTTTGATTTGTATATTTCATTTAAATGCTATGAAATTATGACGAATTACGGATATTATGATAAGTTTGGAGGGAGTTTGATGATAACCGAGAGGAATTGTGACGAGTTTCGTTTCCGGCCAAGACTCAGTTCCGTTTGTTTTGATCTTTACAGATGAGGACGACGAGACAGAAGAGGAAAAGAAGAAACGGGAAAGCGATGCTATGAAGTTAAGACAAGAAGGTATGTTTACATTAAATAATCACAACTTTAAATAAGGTAATGATCCATATTTGTTTACATTCATATTTAAAAAAAAGAAAAAAAGAAGTCACACAAATAAGTTTTATGTTTATACATTTTTTGAGTAAATACTTGAAAAAAGCAAAGCTAAAACTATTGTTTATGTAAATGAATGCAAAATATCTTCTGTGTAAACATTAGTATTACAAATCTATCATATAGCAATATATACTTACACTTTTTACAGTATAATGATAACAATGTTTAGCATTAAATAAGTAAGTCAAATTCATTACATAATGTTATCGAGCTCGTTTATTACAATTATGAGACTTATCGTATGGTAATTATTTAAGCACCATTGTTGTTGTCGATGAACGGATTGATTTAATGCTATTAAATTTATTTTCAATGTCGACAAATAAATAAGATATCGAATATTGTTTAAAGTACAAATGCTGGCGTTTGTGACTTTAAAATTACATATTTTAATGTGTCGAAAATTAAATGAATTTGTAATTATAAAAATGGAAACAAAAATTAAGAAATTATTATTATTTTTTTTAAATTATACAATTTGAGGTTAGCATCTAAAATTATCTGTTAATAAGGCATGCTAAAAAATTAAAAAGAAAAAAAATTACTGAATTTCTGAAAATGTATTATGGATCATAAAATATTAATAAATAAAGAAATATTGATTTTAAAACAACAAAATCTTAATTATACTAAAGGATAATAATTATAATAATCCTATTGAAAACATAATTTTTAAAAATTATGTAATTATATATATTAACATTTGTTTCTGGATAATAATCATTTAATTAAATTTCATTTTAACTAAACTGAATTTAGTTTTTATAAATACAGAATCATCAAACTTTTTTTCTTTAGCAAACTCAAACAATGCATTTTATATGTTGTATATATTTCAATGATACTATAGAAGTAAGTTTAATTTTTGACAAAACTTTGTCAATTTATTGGCATATAATGTTTTACCTTAAATGTTAAGAAACTGAATAATAAAATTGAATTATAAGTTGATCTTTAAATGTAAAATTATATCTGTATATAATGCTTCATGTTTTTCTGATGATTCCAAATATTGTTTTCCAGTCAATTTTATTAATATTTTTATTGTGTATATTTTTTGTATAAAAATTACAATAATGTTACTTCTTTTTGTAGGAGTAAAGATTTTTTAAATCGGACTTTCTTCAATAATAATTAGGTTAAAAAAAAACTTCAAATTCACATATAGACATAGATAAAAAAATCAGTCTGAATAAAACTCATCTATCTGAAAGAATTTAGGTTTTATTAAAAACTTTTCTCCTATAGTAAATACTTAGTAGTTATTTCTACTTGTAGTAAAAATAATATTTTGTATAAGAAATAACTATTCTACTATACACTTCTAAGACTAGACGCAAATTAATTTCACTTTAAAAAAAATTAAATCTATTAGCTAATGATTAGAAGTATAATCAATTGTTCAGTAACTTCTTCAGCCTTTTTTATATTAAATATTTAATCAATCATTTTAATACACAAATTCTTTAAAAAGCAATGTTTATTTTGCCTTATAAATGATCCTTTGTCAAAATTATGAAGTTTCTGTAAATTATATTTAGAATCAATACTTCAGTAATTTAATTATGTATCATAAAGTAATTTGAGGTAATATTTAAAGCTTCCATTCAATCAATTTTTATTTTTTAATAATAATAATAATATATAAAAACATTTCAAAATATTACATTTTTATTTAAATTTTTTTTTACATTTTATTCTTTAAATATATATAGCAGATAGTTTTGCATGATTTATAAATTCAGATGTTTATGGTCATTTAACATGTAATTATGTATGTGCATTCTGCTACTCTAGAAAACAACGTTTTAGAAATGTTTTTAGACAATTTTAAAATAATTTAAATGTTTTGTTATATTTGTTGTTTTGTTTTTTTACATATTTAATGTAGACAAGAAAAAAAATTTTATTTGTGAACTTCCTTACCAAACAAATTTTTTTTTTTTTTTTTAGATCTGTTTCTACAAGTATGAAATATACATAATCTTAATTATCTGTTCTGATGTTTAGTTACCTTTTTTGATTTTTATATTAATATTATATATTAAAAATAGGTTATTTAGTAAAAACATTGAAAGATCAATAAGCTGTTAATATATGTGGCCAAATGGATAAAGCTAGTGAACACTGGTTATGGGTTTTTGGTTAAAGGACTGGAGTTTTCTGGGTTTTCTTCACATTTACAACACATAAATAAAAGCAGTTTCCCATAGAAGGTTCTCTTGGGAGGGATCCCCTTGGCAGATTGGTGACATATTGTGTTGCTATATTCAAACAAAATAATTATTAATATATGTAAGAAAAGTAAACATATGCTACATATTTTATTTTATATTGTATATGTCATACTAATAATTATAGAAATTTTCTTGTCATGTTATATTATGTGTTTAAAAAATGTTTTTATATTATTCATTTTACCACCAGAAGAAAAAGTAGAAAACTTTTATTTAATCACTAGCAATTTTTTTTATCCTTATATATATATATATCATATCCATGTTTATTCATTTTTATTATTGTGAGGAATGAAATCTTTAACATACATACATTGTTATTTTAAAAACAAAAATTAGCTGTTGAGTGAAGTCAATTTGACATCTAGAGAATAACACATTAGTTTTTTAAAATAGTATTATACATCAATTTGTATTAATATTAATAGCTCAATTAATACTAAATATGAAATGAAACTTCCAAATATTTACTTGCTATATTTAGGTTAATATGGAAATGAATGATTCTAAGAATATTTTAACATAGACCTAATTATCACCTAATGTTTAGTATTATGCAAATGGGAACTTTCAAGGCAAATGCATTTCAACCTAAAAGATACATTGTACAGTACATCTTAAATTTATTAAGTAAAAAAATCAGTTTAAATTATTCAAATTTTTTTACATTATTAAACTTCAGTTTTTAAGAAATATTTTTAGGTGTTTGAAATTTTTATTTTTCCCTAATTTTTGAAGACCTTTTTTTTCATAATTTTCAACTTTATCTGAAAGCTTTTCTTTTAATGTTTGATGGTGCGACTTTTGACATTTCATTCAACTCTGAAATGAGTTTGAGCCACAATTCTGAGACAACTCTCTTTCTAGACATTTCTGAATTATTAATCAATAAATCTGATGCTATTCAAAATTATAAATAGGTAGAGATACCATCTATCTTAATAATAAGTTCTTAGAATTATTCATTATTGTGTTAGCCTAAATATAGAAAAGTCTAGTAGTTTCATTATTCAATAAAAAGGATTTGTAAAGTAACATCTTAATATTTAGTCCTTAATCAAACATTGATTTAATAACATTAACAATATTTTAGTTTAAAATTATTTCTTTTTAATGAAAATTTTCAGAATTTTAAGTACTAATTTACATCTGACATCTCAATACAGTAGAACCAAGCACTGATTAATTGAGGTTCAGCATTATCTAAGGCAAACCTGTAATTCAATATACTACATCTCATCTCCTTGGATCTCCATCTTTTACTAGAACCTCTGTGTTTATGGGTTACTCAATGCAGAACAGATTGTTTTTCCATTCTTTCCAGATAATACACTACTTTTCATATACTGTAATTCATAAAGGAAAATTTAAAACAATAATATTATTCTGGATTTGTTACAAATGAATCACTTTGAAATAAGCTTTGCCTTGTGTTTTTTACATAGGACAGAAGCATCCACATAGCAAAGTTCCTATGAATCTGCAGCAGACAGATTTTTTCCATCAATGAAGAAGACAATCAACAAAATGATTTGTTTCTGTTACTGTTTATCATTTAACTTCAATGTGAGACAAATCATTTGTATTAAAATGTAACTACAATAATAAATATTTTTAACCTCTTAATTTGCAGATCCAAGATAACTTGGTTGGATGATACTGGCAAAAATGCATGGGCCCTGAGATCATCAGGATGACAATACTGGCAGTTGAGGGGGGAAGGCTGACTTGAGGGTGTAGCCTTGGGAAGGGAAAGTATGGAAGTAGGATTAGGAGGAGGAAGAAGTGAAGTTGATAGTTTGAGAAAGATGAGGATGGGATTCATGAGCCACATCAGGAACCTTTTATTAAAAATATATAAGCAGAGTTATAAGAGTATGAAAATAATTATTTACATTGCTGCACTCTTCTTTTGTAACTAAGTCCATAAAACAGCTTAATACATTAAGCTACATAATTCATAAATCAACATAATACCTCAAACAACATTACTGTGCAATCATATAATTGTGTATAGAAAAACCCACTTTGGGGTTATTATGGTGGGATCGTAACTGAAGAGTCAACATGTACACTTTGGTGATGGTTGGTGATGATCACACTGTTGGCAAAACTCTTGAAGGCATTGTAGATGTCCTCATTGCTAATAAAAACACTGGGGTTGTAAGGCCATTGGTAGCCCTCCTTTCTAATGGTCTTGATGAGATTGTTCCTTTGATAGATGTGTTGGGGATCTTCACTCCTCCCAAGCGTGCAGGGGCATAGCTCATTGCCTTTATGGAGAAGCACAGGTGGTATAAACCAAGATCACCATGCTGCATCAGAAGCTGCAGTAAAGGGAAGGATGACCACAGATATTTTTGGTGTTCCTCTCTTTTACAATTGGTAGAAACTGATAAGTTGTGTGTTCAGTTGTGCTGCCATCCCATGCTGCCAGCTGTTCCAAGTTATATTCTGAAGTTGGCGTGAGATTCAGCCTAGGAAAATCTTTGTGTAGGTAATTCTAGTTATGTCATAGATTGCATTTTTTGGTAGGAGGTTTGATCTCTCATTTTCTGGGATCCCACTGTACCCTCTAATACAATTATGGTCAATGGTGATGTTTTGAGGCAGATTAAGGCAAATCATGATGATTTTGTTGAGTGTAGGTAGCCATAGGTTCTA